TGGGGTAGGCGAACCCGCCAGTCGTCGTGGTTATGCTGTACCGCACGCAGGCGTGCGTGTTGCCTACCTGCAATGCTCGTTTGGCGCTACGGACCCCTGGGCCTGGGGTAGGAAACGTGGGGTAAAGTATAAACTGCAGGAGCCACATTTTCCCAAATTTTAGCATATCGATGAGGTCGGAGAAAAATAGGTCGGACAGCACTTTTTGGGATTTTGGAAAAATCGCCAGGTCGGAGAAAAATAGGTCGGACAATATAGCTGACGGCTGGTTGCAAGCTGGGGGAAATTTCAGCCCTGGACACCAAAATTCCGTGACGATGACATCATTTAGTCTAGCTGACTTAATTTCATTGGTGTGACCATATTTAGTTAAAAATGGGGTTACTAAATTTTAGTCGGTTTTAGGAACAAAATTTTGTTTCTTACAACCCTGATATAGTTGTATCAACTACATAAATGGTTGTCTGGGTGTAGGAGAACGTCCTCACACTCTAAACTGGTTGGCGACTATGACGCCAAAATGTTGAAGAACGCCAAATCTTGGCGTTCAAAGACGCCAATATTTGGAGTTCTGAGACAAGGAGCGCAAATATCTCGCGTTCAAAGACGCCGATATTTGGAGTTCTGAGACAAAGAACGCCAACCAGTTTTCAGTGTGCCGGGTGATTCAGAGAAGACGCAGGAGCGCGCAGGTTTGCCTATCCGATCCGTCCGTAAGGCGCCATAGCCCCTTGGGTAGGCAAACCCGTTCGCACCTGCGTCTTCTCATGGCAACCACGTGGACCGTTCGTTTTCCTGGAGAACTGACCACACCCGCGACCCATGGATTTACCCAGTCCGTCTCAGAAAAAAAATATGGAATAAATGAAAGTTGAGCGAATGACACTGAAATTATGCTATTGTCCGCTACACCCCCACCCTACCCACAACCCACCCTTTCCTCTCCTCCCCCGCCTACCGCACCAACACACACACACACACACACACACACACACACGCACACACACACAGAGCCGCCCGCCTAGAGGGTGAACCGAACCGAGGCAGAGCCCGAGAGACTTACACCGGAAGTGCTGCGCTGCGCTGTGCGGCGCTGTGAGGAGGAGAGGAGGGTGTCAGCCTCACCCCCGGCCTCTGCCCCCGGCCGACCCGCGGCCGCACGGCCTCGCCCTTGCCCCAGCACAGCCCGGGCCGAGGAGGTCGAGCCAGGCGCCCCCCAAAGCCGCCTCCTCGCCCTCTGGATCGGATTCAGTTATCATTTTCGCTCAATTTGAGGCGTCGTGTAGCCATTATGGAGACCTGCCCGCCAGCCCCGCCCGGCCCACCCCAAGCACCACACCGCAAGCAGGCCCCGAGAGAGGAAAATACAGACCTCGCAGAGACAAGGACCCGATGCGATAAATCGAAACGTCCACGCGAGGGCACAGCTCGGCACAGCCCCCCCCCTCCCTCTCAATCTCTGTCTCCCCGTTACACACACACACACACAACACACAACAACAATGACAACAGTGCGCAAAAACTTTGCTGAAAGCCGAGGCCCGAGGCGAAAGAAAGACGAATTGAACATTGGAAAGAAAGAACGAGCGGGCAAGCGAGGCGTGTCGACTATAGGGTAGGCCCTCTCCTCGATGTGTCGTACATCATACCTTTCGTAACGTTTTTGACAGAGTACCGACTCGAGACTTATTTTGTTGTCTGCCCGGTCTGCCCGTTTATAGCGAGATAGGAGGGGTAGAAAGGGGGAAGGGGAGGGGGGGGGGGGTCACTTGTGTCGTGATAATAAGACAGAGACTGCTGCTGCGCAGGTTTGTGCTGCGGAGCCATAACTACAGTTACAGTAGTTGTTTCCAAGTTTGCGATAACTAACTTCTTGTTCCAGCCCCCTCCCTTCTCTGCAGCATCTCGGCGCATGGCGAGCAGCGACCTAGAGTTGCACCGTCTCATAGGCCATAGGCCGCATACGCAGTGCACTACCAAAAACCTCAAAAAGACTACAATTGAAATATAGAAGTCGAGAAAAGTTACAAT